ACCTCAGCTGCCAGCACCCTCAGGGCAGGTCCAGGAACTCTAGGTCCAGGTGATCTAGTGCCCTCTTCTGGTCCCCCACTGGTACTGCATTTACATGTTCCACTCCATATGTATGTAGGCAAAACACTCATATATGCAATCTAAAAATAAATAAATCTGCCAAGTATGGTGGCGCACACCTTTAGACCCAGCACTCAGGAAGCAGAAGCAGGCTAATTTACGTGATTCTGAGGCCAGCCTTGTTTACAGAGCTAGTTCCAGGACAGCCAGGGCTATAAACCAAAAATAAGGCTGGAGAGATAGCTCAGCGGTTAGAGCAATGACTGCTCTTCCAGAGGTCCTGAGTTCAATTCCCAGCAACTACATGGTGGCTCACAACCATCTATAATGAGTCTGATGCCCAATTCTGCCATGCAGGTGTACATGCAGATAAAGCACTCATATACATAAAATAAATCTATTTCAAAAGATTTTTTTAAAAACCAACCATACGGAGTAGTAGGCAGAGACTTGAATTCATAGAAAATCCAAGGTCTAAGACTATGGATTTTTTAAAAACATTTTATTATTTTTAAGTATGTGCATGTGTATGCTTGTGTACACGAGTGACAATGCCCATCGAGGTTAGAGGCTTTAGTGAGTGCTGGGAATTGCATATGTCTTCTGTGTGGTGGTTTGAATGAGGTGCTGCCTATATTCTTGTGTGGGCTTTCTGCTTTGTGCTTGTGGCTCAAGATACGAGGTCTCCACTTGTGTTCCTGCTGTCATACCTGCTGCTTGCTGCCATTGTGGACTCTTAAACCCTCTGGACCATAGACCCAAATAAACTCTTTCTTCGACAAGTTGCCTTGGCCATAGTGTTTTATCACAGCAGAGGAACGGTAACTGCAAGAGCAACATATGCTGTAACCACTGAGCCATCCCGACAGCCCTTGTGGTAGTTAATCTTGTCAGCTTGACAAGATCTGAAAATCATCTAGGAGACACACCTCTGTGTCTGTGAGTGTGTTTCCCGAGAGAGGCTTAATTGAGGCAGAAACACTCACTCTGGGAGTGGCACTGTCTCATGGGCCAGGGTCCCGGACAGGATGAAAAGGAGAAAGAAGGCGGAGAATTGATTCATCGCTCTGGGCGAGAAAGAAGGTAGAGCATCCATTTAATGCTCTGGGCTCCCTAATGGCCCATTCCCACCCCACTGCCTTTGCCTTCCCTGTCATGTGCCCCATCAACAAAAATAACCCCTTCTTCCTTGATGTGCTTTTGTTGGGTGTTTTTTCTCAATGGCATGAGAAGTGAGACCAGGGACAGTCTATGAGAAGACTGTCTGGGTTATCAAGGTTCCTGGATGATAGAAGATGGTCCACAAGCCCCATCATCTCCTGCACACACTCCCCGCACACTGTCTAGCTCCCTCACTCCCCCCACCTTCAGTATGCACACGTTCTGTCTCTTTCACTGTCCCCATATCTTTAGTTCCTACCTCCTGATCCCCAGTCTTTGGTTTTCTTTCTTCTCTCTTACCTTCCTCCTGAGGAACTACTGTGTTTTAAACATTCACAGTTTCAAACACTATATACATGACAGCTTCACTCACATCTCTGCCCCCAGCTTGAGTCTCCCAGATGGTCTCCGTACTCCTAAATCCCACTGGACACTTTGGCATCGCTGCCCAAAGGCAACCACATATCCCAGTCTGAGCTCCTGATATTTCCCCCACAGCACACATCTCCCGTAGTCTTTCCCAAACCAGTTATCCACAGCCTCATGTCTCTAATTATCCCAACAAAAGAACAGACCGGATGTCATCTCCCATCTCTCTCTGTATCTACACAAACACTGACACACATCCTCTTGGTTTGGCTCTCAGAACGCACCCAGATTTATCGCTACCTCCAGGGCCTCCACCTTGTCGATCGATCCACACTATCTTTTGACTGTACTACACTGCCTTATCTCCCTTCAGCAGGTTTACAGCCAAGCAGTTGTGGTGAGCCTGGGAAGCTGTGACTCAGACTATTGTGCTGGGTGCTCTGCTCTGCTCAAAACCATCCCTGCCATTCCAGGTTTCTCAGGAAGAGCCAGAATGCTGACAGTGCCTCCCAGGAGATTACACATGAGCACCCTGGGTTTCTTGCCAGACAAACTCCAACCTGAGAGTCCCTCCACCACCTCAAATCTGACACTAAGTCCAGAAGTTCTTCATCTCCTCAGGAGTTATCTCTACTGGCTACTACATAACTAAGCTTCCCTGGTGTGGTGGTTTGAATATGCTTGGCCCAGAAAATACCACTATTAGGAGGTGTGGCCTTGTTGGAGGAAGTGTGCCACTGTGTCAGTGGGCTTTGAGATCCTCCCCCTAGCTGCCTGGAAAACAGTTTTCTGTTTGCTTTCAGAAAAAAATGTAGAACTCTCAACTCCTCCAGCCCCATGCCTGCCTGGATGCTGCCATGCTTCCTGCCATGATGATAATGGACTGAACCTCAGAACCAGTAATCCAACCCCAATTAAATGCTGTCTTTTATAAGAGTTGCCTTGGTCATGGTGTCTCTTCACAGCAACGAAAACTCTAACTAAGACACCTGGTTACTGTTCCTGCTCCCAGTCATGTTTTCTGTGTGATAACAGTCAATAATTGTCCACTGTAAAAAAAAAAAAAAAGCTTGTCACCCTGTCTTCAGAACAGCAGGAGGTAGCGATGGGAGGTACTAAGAGTCAGTGAAGGAATGAGGAACTCCCAAGGCAAAGTACTGAACAGTGGCAGCTTCAAGAGAAGAAAGGAGACAGAGGGCCTCAGGCCTTGACGAGAGGTAAGGGAGAGTGCGCAGAGAGCTGAGCTAGACCTGAGAAACATGGTGTACGTTTAAAGCCCCCAGTTCTGAGGATGGTGCATGGACAGCTGCCTTAGCAGCTCCTGTGAAGATCTGAGAAGAGTTCTTTCAGACCAGGCAGTGTTCAATGGTAGATTAGCTCTGTCTTGAAAGAAAAGACAGAAGGAAAAAAAAGTGGGACGGAAAATACCTCAAAATTCAGAGCCCCAAAGATTTATTTTACTTGTCAATGCCAATCAGTTGATAGAGGATTTAGGGATTGCCAACTTAAGGAGAAATCTAAAGCTACCACCAGGCTCTTATTTTAGAAGAAGAGAGATGATGGTTGATTAAGCAAATCTGCCACGGGTGCAGGTGGGATCTGGGAAAGACCTGGTCTCCAAAGGTAATAGGAAAAAAAAGGCAGAGGTGCCCACGAGCTGTTGTTGAATGATTTAAATACTAGAGACTATGTTTAATGCACTAGAAGAAATATCATGAGCTGTGTAACTGAACAAGGGATACCTGGAGTGATGTGAATGTCCCCTGTGGGTCACCATCACTCCTAAAGCTTCTATACCATCTCCCCAAACTGACATAAGGATCAAGTCCTAAGTGCTTGAACTTTTGGATCCAAACCACAGACCATAGCATTTAGAGGAAAAACACAGCACCCTCGTGGCTGCTCACCAGGTGTGCTATCAAATAGGATTTCATAAAGAGGCCAAAATGAAAACAAGTGTGGTCAGAATGAGGCAGGGGGCCCAGAGTATGTGCCAAGCCACATTCATGTATGTTATAAAATGGCTCAAGTTTGGGGACTGCCGAGTGCTAAATGTCCTTAAATGGTATTCTTTGTTGAGACATTTTTCAGGATCTTTCAAGTGTTTTTCTACTTTTTGCTCTGTCCAAAGGTGAATGGAGCTCCTTCTCCCATGGGGCTATGTTCTCCTGAACATTCTTTGAAAAACTCTGACATCAACAAAGCAACAGAGAATGATGTTTCTTGGAAATGAGGAATGAAACAGTGGCTTAATGAACATGCCTTTCAGAGAGGGGGATGAAGAGCAAAGATGGGGGGGGGGGAGAGAGAGAGAGAGAGCTGGAGGGGGGAGGTATTTTTGTGGAGAGATGAGGAAAGCAGGATCCTGGGGAAAAAGACATGTTGGGAGATGAGAAACACTTGAAACATCAGAATGTCAGAGGAAGAATGCATCAGGGCAGCATGTGTCATTTCTGTGGCCTTCATTGTCATTATCAGCCTGGAAGCAGGCTCTGTATGTCACATTTACTTCGTATCTGTGTCACATGTTACTTTGTATCTGTGTGCCATATGTTACATTGTATCACTTTATTTCCATTTTTCAGATAAGGAAATGTAGGCACATGGATATGATATGACCAGAATCAGGCTTATGAAAGTCCTCCCAGGTGGCACACAGCCCACACCTTCATTACTGTAGGGCACAGCTCTGTTGTTGGCTGTATCAGAGGGAGGATTAGAATTCCATTATGTAATACCAAAAGGATATTGCACACAAATGCAATACCAAAACATTTAGAGAAGAAAGAGAAAGGCGAAACCAACCCACCAGCGTCCCATTGGCCAGCAGGCTGCACAGGCCTAACATCCTGCATGCACTGCTTACAGGAACATAAGATAGTCTTTGGATGCTACATCGAACATTGTCGATGTACCACAACAAAACCACAGAATTCTGTAACTGCCAGTTCTCTTACTCGATATGGAGGCCCCAGAAGAGTTTCTCAGGACAGATTCCAAAAAGATGAATCATAACTCAGTTATGTCATTTTGGCTCAGAAACAGACTCACATTAAATGCGAACACTGATTTCTGTCATGTCTAACTCCAGGTCTCCAAGCTTAAAATCCAATGCAAACAAACAAACAGGTCACTATTAGGGCAGAGATGGGAGAACGGAGCTAACCTCTACTCTGCAAAAATAGCAAGATGTGAAAAGCTTGTACACTGAGCGTCTTGGGTTTGCTGCGATACAAAGGTTCTTTACGATGTTACATTACAAACTAGGGAGCTTCTGGAGGCTGAGGCTGTGAAGGGGGCAGTCTCCCACCTCTGATTTGCTTCTTTGAGTTCACAGCAAAATAAACAAAGTGCTGCAGACAGAGGAGGCGAAATGTTAAGAGTATCTTGTTTGTAATTGCTCTATTTACCTGGTGGATGTGAGGGTAGGCTTTGGGCCACTTGGTCCAGAACTGCTGCAGAGCTGAGCGTTCAAACTGAGGCTGGCCTCGCGGGACGGCTAAGCTTCCCGTTGCTTCAGCTGCTTCCCAGATCCCATTGGAAATCCCAAAGGTCTCATGAGCCCCACTGCCAATACGCTGTGCTGTTTTCGCTGTTTCCGAGAGTGTGCCTCAGCCGTCCACACCCACCTCCGCTTGCGTTGACTGAATGGCTCGGGTTTCTTCCACTCCTTCAGCAGCTGGGAATCCAAACCTTGTACAGGCAGAGGCTTCTCCTGAAAACACTTCCAGATGTGCTCTTCGCGAAGGCAGGGCAGGTTGGCTGGCTGGGGCAGACTTCTTCTCTCAGCTTTCTCTTGTAGACTGCGTGTAAAACTCTCTCCAAAACAGGGCTGTTCTGTAGTAAAAGATACAAACCCAGGGAATAGCAAATGTTTGGAAAGTGAATTTATACCATGATGCGGCTAATGTAAATTTCAAATTTCAGTTAGGTTCTTGCTGAGAATCTTTGAGATCTCCTGTATATTGAAATGTTGCTATGGCAAATTAAACTGTAGTCTTCTACTGAGGCTGTGATAAAGACAGAAGTTTCCAGTTCGGGTGCATTCCTGCTGGAAGGGGAGAGGCATCAGGATAATAGGGGTAGACTTGTCTCAATGCTGCCGTTCTGTGGTTTAGCAGTTGGTCCTCAAAAATGGTACCAGGAATGGTAGCAGAGCTTTGCCCAGGATCATGGAACATATTCCACAATGGCCCTCTCTGGCTTTCATAAGAAGCTCCTCGCTGGCCGCCTCCATCACAAGAGGTCCCTTCCTTCATAAATATAATGCAAATCACACTGTAACTTTAAATTTCCAAAACCCCCTCAATAACTGCCAGGGTAGGGTGGCAAGCCTGTAATCCTAGCACTTTGGAGATAGAGGCAGTGGAAGTCAGGAGTTCAAGGCTAGTATGGGCTACTAGAGACCTTCCCTCAAACAAACAAACAAACAAACAAACAAACAGTGTTTTTTAAAAGGAGCATCATCCACATTAATAAAAGTATAAAAAATGATGTATTTTATTTTGCACAGTACACACAAAATATTATTTCAACTAACAAGTATAAAATATATAAAAGACATTTTGTACTCTTTAATTTTTTTTTACTAAGTCTTTGAAATCTAGTGTGGATTTTGCATTTGCAACAAATCTCACTCCAACATTAAATTTCTTATTTATATTATTTATTTATGTTATATGCATTTAGATTTCAGAAACTTAACTTAGCAGTGTGGGCCTGTAATCTCAGCTGGAGCAGGAGGATTGCATTCTCAGGGATACCTGGGGATGGATGCAATGTGAGTTTGAGGCCAGCATGGATAACTTAGTGACTCGAAACAGGAAATAAAGAGTGCTGGGCAGAATGCCTGTCCAGTATGAACAGGGCCATACGTTTAATCCCCAGGTAAAGTCCCATATCCCAGGTTGTGTTAAATATACTTAAGATACTTCTAACAACTGACTGTAGCATTCATTTTTTTCTATTTTTTTTTTTTTTGGTTTTTCGAGACAGGGTTTCTCTGTGTAGCCCTGGCTGTCCTGGAACTCACGCTGTAGACCAGGCTAGCCTCGAACTCTCGAACTCAGAAATCCGCCTGCCTCTGCCTCCCAAGTGCTGGGATTAAAGGCGTGCGCCACCACCGCCCGGCTCATTTTTTTCTATTCTAATTAATGAAAATTTAGTATAATTTAAGATTCAATTATCTGCCTGCACTAATCGAGTCTAAGTACCCTATGCCACATGGCTGGTGGCTACAGGACTGGATATCAATATTCCCGAGGTTGGAGATGGGGAAAGGAAGTATTCTTTATACTTTCCAATCTTTTGAACATTAATAAAATAGATTCCTACATTCTGCTTCATTTTGTTCTCACAGTGTGTTAGGTAAACTAAATTTCACTCCAGCTTTCAGACTCCAGCCAAATTTGGGTCCTCTGAAAGAGCAGAAAGTGCTCTTAACCACAGCGCCAATTCTCCACATTTTAAATTCCTTCAGCTTTCCCTTCTGTAATATCCCTTAAGCCTGTGTGGAGACGAAGAGTGATACAGAGGTCCAGCTTAGTGCTGAGCACTCAACGCAGCTGTCACAGCTCGTACTGACCCATAGGGAGGGGTCGCATGCCTGGGAGTTTCATTTGATGACCTTGC